AGGCTGCCAAAGCCGAGCGCACTGACTTTAACCACTAGGCCACAGGGCCAGTCCCATGGTATTGGAGGTTTTTAATTCAACATTTAAATAGTTTATCCCAGAGAAAATTTAAAAATATGAAAGATATTTTTTCTTCTCTCATCAACAGTGACAGGGAGATGCCCAAACTGTTACCGAACCTGAAGTGAGTTCACTCACCCGTTGTGCAGCAAGCCAATCTCTGACACTGGGAGTGGTGGAAGAAAGTAGGAATTTTATTTTTGCACAGCGCTGAGCAAGGAGAGAGAGCAGCTAATGCTGAAATCCCAAACTCCCCGAAAAGCTAAAAAGAAGGGTTTTTATTTGGGGCTTTAGGTAGTGGAGGGGGAGCATATGGCCTTGCTGGTCGGAGCTTTCCCACCAGCCTGTCTTTGGCCTTGAGACACTTGCAGAGAGGAGGAAGCCCGTGACCTTGCTGGTCAGCAGCTTTCCCACCAGCCTGTATCTCTGTGGGAGGAGATAGTCCAGGTGCTTGTCCTTGACGGTGTCTGTCTCTATGGAGGATAGTGGATTCTGGAGCCAGGAAGCCAGAGAGTAAGCGGGGAATGAGTGCTTTGGTTTTAACCTCATATATGCTGGGTTTAATGTGGGGAAATTGATATCAGGGTCGGTATCAACTCCCCCCTCTTTTATGTCCATCCTTCAATCTTGAGGGATTTGGGGTGATGACCGATCTAGCTACTTCCTGCTGAAATGGGGTGTAGGTTGTTTCACCTCATTGAACCAGTCTTTAAATAAGGCAGTGATGCTGGTGGGCTCCTTAAGTTAGGCCTGTATCATATAAGTAAGTAACCAGTTATTTAATAAGAAGTTTTTCTAAAGAAACAAAAAGAGAAAAACAAGGTTAATGGTTGGAGCAAATTATAAACCAGCTTTTGAGCCCAGGGGGCAGCCAATCAAGACTCCTAGAAGTCAGGGTCAAAGCATCTTTTGCAGTTTGAAATGTCTCTGATGGTGTCATTGGGCACTCAGGTAGCTTTTTGAGTGGCTTACACAGCAGTAGACATGAATCTCTCTTAAGTTTATATTAGGTCCTCCAGCTTCAGTTTGTAAGGCTTTAGGAAAAAGGGCAGATTTAGTTTTCAATGACTCCAAATGAAAATAATGGGGAAAAAACCTGAAAATGTTAGTTTGGACGTTTTTAGCCAGATATTTCAAGAGATGAAGAATTCAAGATCCAGTCCAGTTAACAGAAGTAAAACAAAAATTTCAAAGACAGTGGAAAAAACTAAGATCCAATATTTATAAACATGCATTATAGTTTCTATTGAAACATAATTTTCCTCCCTAAAATCACCCTCAATTTTACTAGACATAGCCAAATTAAGACTAACTGATTTGAACAATGTTTAGTTTTAATAAATTTGGCATAATTATTTACATAAGTACAGCAAGAATAGTAATTGATCACACAGGCTCTTTTAAATCTGCTTTGCTGGAATCTTATAACGAATCTCAGGTTGATCTTTAAAGGCCTCTCAAGGAAAGCCAAGCAAAGGACCTGTTATCAGATTCTGCCTGCAGTACCTGCAGATTTGGGCGAATCCCTCTCTTCATGAGGTTCCCCAAAATATTGAGGTTCCTTGTACCTGCCAAAAGGAGCAACATTCTTTGCTCAACCTTACCAGGTTACAGAACCCATAAGCACAGTACCAGGCCAATATTTTCAAGTGGCTTTATTCCAGAATGTCAACCTTCATTCCTCAAAACCTGTCTTGTTATATTTAAGCCTGTATGTTTTTTCAAATATGATGTTCCAGTCAAAGCCTTGGTAATATAAATAGTGTTTCCAATTGTGTCCTGTTAAAAGAAGAACAGATTCTTATTGTACTTATGCAAACAACTATATTGCCATAAGAATAAGAATACTTACTCATCAGGGGTTTTTACGTTTTGGAGGGCTCAGATAGGGAGGAAAAGACAAATGTTTCAATTTTGTTTATGAATTCCTGTAAGTCATAGTTCTTTAAGAGAATAGAGAAAAAGGTTTTCTTAACTCTGAAAAAAAGCAAAACATCAAAAATCAGCAATATCTCAATCAAAAAGTCATAAAAATTATAATCATCCCTATCAGTTTATTCTGTCCTGTGTAATTGATTCTTGATCTTAATCTTCTGTCAGCAGTTTATGAGCTCATCAGTTTCTCTGTTGGAGTTCTGTAATTTTTACTCAGTTTGTTTTTACAATCTGAATGTTTATTAGAAACCTGTATTCTAGAGTGTCAGAGTCCTTTCCATGAATTTCTCTGCAGATGAAACATATTTGCAGAAACATCAAAGTAAAACAGCCACTATTTATAAATAACAAAACATTCAAAAATGGTAATTGACAAAGGCATTTGACCATGTCTGTGATATGTAACATTTTGAGATAATAACCAGCATTATAGCTGACAATCAGAACAGATCAGATCATTTTGAAAATACTTATATCAATAACACTAATTTACATAATACCATTTAAGAAAGTTTATCATTACTTATTTGACAACGCTTCCCATGTAATTTAACATACAAAATAAGCCTTATTAGTTTAGCATTTTTTTTTTTATAGGAAGAGAGCAAATTTCTCCGAGAAGTCTCAGGGGCCCTCTGAAAATCCCCAGAGAAACTTTCCCTCGTCTTCCAGGTCAAAAGAAAGCTTTTATTCAAGACTTCAATATTTGTGTGTGTGGGGAAGCTTGTCAAAAATATTAAAAGCTTTAAAATATTTGTTTAGATAGGAAACAAAGCTCACTGCGAGACCATGCTCAGGTATCTATTCAAAGTGACAACAGAAACAGTCAAGGGGAAACAAGGTTAAAATAGTCAAAAAAAGCCTTTTTATAATCTTTTTATCAAGAGCAGATTAAAAATGTAGGAAAATTAACCTTTTAAGAAAAAGGAAACCAAGTTTTAATTTTGTACCACTTTACCTTTGACATATAAGTTTATTTACTTAATTGGATTTACTTTAATCCTGGGCAACTTGACCATACATAAATCTCTTTAGGGCTTTACTTTTACAAACCTTTGGTTACTTTTTTTACCTTCAGAATTTGTCCCAGCACTTTAGGACAAATTTATCTTTCTCAACTCAAGAAACGAAAGTATTTCCATTCTTTATATCTTTTTATTGAAAGCATATATTTTACTCTCTTTGTATACAGACCTTTTAGAAATATATGTTTTCTCATAGAAACTTTCTCAGCATACATATAAGATGTTTATTAATAAACCTAAGCACTTTTCAGTCTCTTTGATATAAGAAACCAAAGGCAGACAAATATATGCTTAGTAGTTAACCTTTAATATTTTATCTTATGTGGAAATGACCTAGATACCCAATAAACTATTATTTAATTTAATTTAGTAAAGCTATAAAATTTGCTTCCAAAAAGATTTTGGAAGCTGTTTTTAAGTATGCAGCCTATAAGACATAATTATTGTACTTAAAACTCCTACCCAGTTTTAATAATTACTCTTCAAAACTTCATGTGACATTACAGCACTTAACTATCATCCTCAGTTGTTTTAAGTACATATATCATAATATAATTATTATACATATAATTACATATATAATGATTGTTAAAAAGTTTTTCCAAAAACTTTTATTTTTTTACATTTATTTAATTTACCTGTTCTTAACGATTATATTTAGATCGTCTAGAAAAACTCCATGAGACATTAAACAAAATTAGCTATTATACTGAGTTATGAGTTTTATTGATAAATTTTGTAACAGAGATGACATGAGCTCATTTGACCAGTAAACCCAGGCTGTATGTCTGCATTATAGCCAATGCTGATAACTTTGAAGACATGTTCAGTTTAAATGAAACCAGCAAACAAACAGGCTTTCATTCATCAAAGATCATTTTATATCATGTTAAATAACTTTGTCTCAGAAGTTTTTGCATATTCGTTAAAGACTGCATTCCATTATGAGAGATTTTGAATGCTCTTCTGAAACACGTTTTCAGAATGGCCATTACAATTCCAAATTATCTCAAAAGTTTACTTATTTTTTCTCGTTCAATTTTAGATCAGGAATTTTGGGGGAGTTGAAGTGAAGCTCAGCTTGCTGGGAAGCTCAGCAAGAGAGTAGAAAAAAGCAGCAGATTTGGGTTTGGCTGCTGGCATGTTTAATTATTTAATTATTTTCTCTTAAAGAGGCAGTAAAGTATTTCTAATTTTATTTAGAAGCCTCAAAAGATTAAAACAGGCTCCCCATTGTTGCAGCTGGCTTTTCCAATTGCATACATCAGTTTGGGTGAACTGAAATTGGCCTGTTTAAGTATATCAATTTTTACAAAACTTTATCTTAGTTTTACTAACCCTTATACTTTTAATTATAACTTACATTAGAATTCTATTAACAAGTTTTGGTATTACAATATTGTTCAGGGGAAGCATTCCCAGTTAGACATAACATTTATTCCCAAAGAAAACATCCAGGCAAAGTTGACATAACCTCTTCATATAATATTAGCTTAAATACTTTAATCTTTATAATCTTATTAATCTTAGTAGGCTAACTGTTGCCCCAAACAACCGTTGGTCAGGTGTCTCACTCTGACTTTTGCCTCCTGACCTTTTAAATGTTTCCAACTGGGGTAAATAGAACAGATTTGTCTGATGTCCTTTAATATTGGGGAGCCAATAGCCCATCCAACCTTAGGCAGTATTTTATTATAACCTTTGTTTTAACTTCATTTATATCTGTTCCATTTATCCCATTGGGATGAGTCCTGTGACTCTTCCTTTCTGATTTTTCTTTGTTAACTTAACATTTTCATTAGCATCTGTAAGACTATGAGAAGCTGAGACCCCAAGTTTGATTAAGTTCTTAAGACTAGTCATTATAATTTCTTCTTAATTTGGTATTTACATAGGTACCGATAAAACAGTTGCTTATCATAAGAACTCTCTAAAAAGTTTCCCAACTTGAGGATCCATCATTTGGCCATTTTTTTCTCCCCAGAGTCTAAAGAATATTGTGGCCACGTGGTGTTACAAAAGAAAATCATCCCTCTTTAGACATTGCCTTATGGCTATAGGTCGACCATCAGCCAAAGTTTTTCCCAATGGGCTCTTAGGTGGAATAAATGAGCATCTCCCATGTTAACACTTTTGAAAGGACAGACAGACAGACAGATAACAACAAATACCAAACAAGCGCACATTCCCAAAAACCCTTGGCCACAAACGGAAGCCAAAACAAAGACCAAAACTAGAAACCAAAGTGCTTCCAGTCCCAGCTTAGTCCGTGTCCTACACTCGGGGGCGCCCAAAAAATGAACATCTGCTATGCAGATCTTCCCAAATGAGCAAGGACAAGGGACCTCGGTTGTGCACACCCAGGGGACTTACCAAAATTTGGCCGGGGCGTCGCGGCGACTTCAAAACAAACAGAGCCCAGAGGGCTGCCAAGGTACCCATTATTTCCGGCCGGTCCTGTTGGAAAAGGTTAACACAAAGACAAAGATAAAAACTACCAGCTACTTACAAGAGACGTCTTCCTAAGTCCTAAACCCAGTTTCTTCCACCACCAGAGCAAAAGCGCCGTGGGCCAACGATATCTGGTTAGCAGCCAGTCGCTTGGGACTGTCCCTGAGACAAGGGGCTCAGGCAGCTGCAGGACAGCTTCCAAGAGAAGCCTTTAGCCAGAGGCCGGTGTGCCACAGGCGAGACGTCCACCTGGGACATTGTCCCATCTGGGTCGCCAAATGGTTACCGAACCTGAAGTGAGTTCACTCACCCGTTGCGCAGCAAGCTAATCTCTGACACCGGGGGTGGTGGAAGAAAGTAGGAATTCTATTTTTGCACAGCGCTGAGCAAGAAGAGAGGGAAGCTAACGCTGAAATCCCAAACTCCCCGAAAAGCTAAAAGGAAGGGTTTTTATTTGGGGCTTTAGGTAGGGGAGGGGGAGCATATGGCCTTGCTGGTCGGAGCTTTCCCACCAGCCTGTCTTTGGCCTTGAGACACTTGCAGAGAGGAGGGAGCCCGTGACCTTGCTGGTCAGCAGCTTTCCCACCAGCCTGTATCTCTTTGTGGGGAGGAGATAATCCAGGTGCTTGTCCTTGACGGTGTCTGTCTCCATGGAGGATAATGGATTCTGGAACCCGGAAGCCAGAGAGTAAGCGAGGAATGAGTGCTTTGGTTTTAACCTCATATATGCTGGGTTTAATGTGGGGAAAGTGATATCAGGGTCGGTATCAAATCCACATGGAGGCGCTGCACGTGGATCGTCTTTAATAGACCATTCCTCTACTCCAAAGCTACGTGGGCGAAAGGAGGGTTTTATTATTTTCTAAATTTATAGGTATTTCCTAGTTGTCTACAAAAGTTACTTGTGCAATAAAAAATTAAAAGTCAAAAAATAGAGCTATGGCCATAAAGAAGCCCCTGGCAGTGTGGCCCAAGGCCCCCGGGGAAGGGCAGACGCCTGAGCTGGAGGCTCGAGGGCAGCGGCTGCAGAAAGATGGACAAATGGCCGGTGGGCGAGGAGGCAGGAGGAGGGGCAGGCTCCCGAAGCGAGAGTAGACAGGTTCCCAGCCGGCACGTATTTTTCTTGAGTTTTTCTTCTGCGTAACATGTCAGAAAAAAGTGTCCTCTGACAAGCTGGATAATTTTTAGTGATTTCTCCTGAGCACCGAAGTAGAAAAGAAAGTAAACGAAGAGCACAGGATGTGGGGGCCTGTGCGGCCGGGTCACTGGGTTTCCTCTGGTGCCTGTGACTCCCGCGTACATCCAGTGACGTCTTCGTTCATCTGTTCATCACGGCGTTATTGAGCACCCACCGTGTGCCAGACACTGGGCTGGGTGCTGGAGACCCCGCAGAGAACAAAGCAGTCTCCGTCGCTGCCCTCATCGGGTTTTTTTTTAACTTATTTATTTTTAAAAATTCTGGTAAACTATACAAAACATAAAATTTACCATTTTATCTGTTTTTAAGCGTGCAGTTCAGGGACGTTACGTACACTGACCTCGTTGTGCAACCGTTATCCACCCCCGTCCACAGAACTCTTCTCATCTTGTAAAACTGAAACCCTGTCCCCCAACACTAATGCCCCCGCCCTGGCACCCTCCCTTCTGCTTTCTACCTTCATAGACTTGGCTCCTCCAGGGATCTCCGCCTTCATCAGGGTGTGCATTCAAACGGGGGAGGCACAGGCCACGGGGGCTCACTCCCGAGCTCCCTGCACCCCCACTGAGCCACCTGCCTTCGAGGGCTCTGCTCCCTTCCTGACCTTCAAAACATCCTCCAGCATCTGGTCTCTTTAAGACATTGTCAGTAACAACAAAACCTAAACAGCTCACAGACAGGGAGTTCCTCAGTGCCATGTCACAGATGTTTGTATTTCTGAGACTCCCTTAGGCTTTTAATTCAACAACTCTCAACTCAGAGTAGGGGAAAAAAATATGCGAATGTTGTTGCCTCCAGAATATTCGATTTTCGAAGCCTGAAGTCCACCTGTAGCGAGAAGAGAAGCCAGGAGAGCTGGGCACTGGCCAGCTCGGACAAGCTGCGTAACCTCGAGAGAACCACTTCCTCCCTCCGGGCCTCGGCTCTTATTTCCTTTCCAGGTTAAAAATTCTGTGACTCTACATTGTTGGCTGGCGTGGAAATTGGCATATCTTTTTGAAGGGCAATGAAAAAAAAGGTGTTTTTTATTGTGGTAAAATATACATAACATGAAATTTACCATTTTAACCACTTCTAAGTGTACAGTTTAGTGGCATAAAGATCATTCACAATGTTGTGTAAACATCACCACTGCCTATTTCCATAACCTTTTCATCACCCTCCCACCAGGCCATGTTAAAGGACAATTTTGCAATACCTATAATCGTCCTAAATTCACATACCCTATAGTCCACCAGTTTCACGTCTAGGACTCTGTTCTATGAAAACACTTCATAAGAAGATATTCTTCTTAATAAGAAGAAATTCATTGCTGTATTAATATTCCATTTTATAGTTCATAATTGTATATCGTAGAGTAGTATGGCCTAATTTTTAAAAATCATTGCAAACGTATCATTGAAGACAAATTTGTTTTTACTAATTATCTATAACAATTTAAGCATTTATCATTTGAAACAGTTTTAACACTCTTATTCCATAACTTTATTTAAAATTTACATCTTAAAAATTATTAAGGCCAAGCATTGATACCTAAAACTTCTAATAAAGCATTATTTCTCCATAGTATTGTTTATGAACATTTAAGTTTATTTATTTTAGGAATGCCTCATATTTGAGATCTATAGGCCAGAAGCAGAATTCTATTTTTAAAAACATATTCTTCAAACAGTGCTCTTGTGGCACCAGAATAAGCACAGTATAGTGTAATTTCGTTTGCAAAACATTTTTATTTGTTAGCATAAATGCCATGCAGGAATTTGTCTTAGAGTAGAGAACACTGTTTCACTGTCAAACATATACGCAGAATTCATTTGTAAAGTTCAATACATGGAATGTTTTACATTAAAGGGAAGCCTATGCTAATTTCAACTTCTGTATTTTTTCAGTGAATGAGGAGGAATCAGAAAACAGTGATGGTTATCAGACTGCAACGTCGCCCCGTCAGTGAGCAGGCATCCCCACATGGGACGGCGTGGCTGAGACTGATTTTTGAGTCCTCTTAGAACTAGCCCAGTCAGCGTCTATATTTGGAAAAATCACAATTGCAGGATGTGTGATTATAATTGCACTGAGTTATCAGCATTTGTTGCAGTCAGAAATGTTCAATCACTTAGTAGAAGCGAGTGTTACTTCGCTGAGCATGGCTGATTGTGTTGATCCTGCTTCTTTAATAAGAACAGGACGAGATCCTTTCTTGAGCGCCTGGTTTGTGAGGGCGCTGTACTAAACAGCTCATTTATTTCACCTTTGCAATGGTTCCATGTCATGTTACAGAGGAGGAAACCAAGACTTAGAGGATCATGTAAACTCCGTCACAAACGGGTGGTGGCAGTAAGTGAGCCTCAAACTGGCTGTCTCCAGTGCCCATAAACTCAACCTGGATGCTGTATGGCCCCAGATGGTCTTATTAAGATGGAAAAGTTTTCAAGAGATTCTGACTTGTTATCCACCTTTACTAAATAACAGGGCTGAAGAGAACTTTTGAAAAAGTACAAACTGGGATTTCTTAAGCATGTGCCTCATCTGACCTCTCTGTGTCTGACAGGTTCAGTTGTCTCTTCCATGTTGGAGCAAATTGTTTACTTCACAGGAGATCGCCAACACCAAGAGCAGAAACTGAAATCCCGCCTCGTCTCAGATCCGCTCAATAGAAGCAAAGTAGGAACATGGAGGGAATCTGTGTTTCCCAAATGGAAGATAACATCCTTAACTCCCCCCCACACTACCCCAAAGTGGAAAATAACACTTACATGGTGCTCAGCCTTCTCAGGAGTCCCTCTCCTGGTATGACCAGCAGTCATTTTGAAAGCTGGAAGAAAATAAACCGCTATCAGGCTTAAAGCTCCAAGTAACCATGGTGACCAGCTCATCCAGCCTCAGCTTCACCAGGTAATAGGTAGAAGAGAAGTTGGTAGAATCTTATTGTCATAAGTGAAAAGAGTTTGTGTTGCAGAAATATTTTCTTACCACATATGCCAAAATTGGACGGCTACCAGTGTGTCTTCTTGATCCCACTCCTTCCTTCATTCATTCAACCCAGAGTTACTGGCACTTTCCAGGGTTACAGCAGAGAATCTGACAAACCCCTGCTCTCAGTGGTTGGCAGACAGCAAAGTAGGAATAAATATACAATGTAATCTCAGGTCCTGGTGCGGGCATCTGGTTACTGTGAATTCTCTGCAGTGTACAATGTGTACAACTGTCTGTATAGCCCTGTCTTTGTCATTGTCGAAACCATTTTCTGGTAACAAAGCCTCTGTGCCTTTTCTTGTCCCAAAGAGGTGGGGGCAGGGAGGGAGGTGAAGAGGGAGCACATTTCAGCTGACATCTGCCCTTTGTTGACGTCCATCCATTTCCTCTTTGAAATTCTCCTTCACCAGAACAGGTTGTTTTAGAGGGTGTTGCTGGTGCCCTGTCATCACCCCAGGCATTTGTCCAGTGTTACGGTTAACCTGTTTTCAGAAAGATTGAATAGTGTATTAAAATGGCTTTTATAGTAAGTACATAATTCACGTGTAAAATCTGAACTTGGAATCCTTTTGCCACTCTCTTGCCAATATATTCAACTTCCTCATCCCACTGACGTCTGTCCTTCCCTTCTGGAAAACCCCAGCCCAGAGGCAGTCCACTCCACCTCATCTGAGCTCTTGCAGGAACCTGGGCCTCATAGTGAATCTGGACCCACACTCCTGCAGGGTGAGAGACTCAGCTGGAATAAGCAACCTACAGTTCCGTTTGTTAAAAAGGACAACAGGCCCAAAATGGAGTCACTTGTGCTAAGCCCCGTGTCAGCAAACCAAGACTTCATACCTAACCTAATTGCAGCCTCAGCCCCCCAGGAGTGGAATTTTAACCAATGGCTCTGGAATTTCCTGGGCAGCACTATTGAGGCCGTCCACTTGACAGACCCCTATCATCCCCTAAAGGAGGGCGACCTTGCCTGAAACAATCCTTATCCTGGCCCCTTCTGCCTATAGAAGTCTTCCATTATGTACAGCTCCTCGGAGCTCCCTTCCATTTGCTAGACAGGATGCTGCCTGATTCATGAATTGTTGAATAGGGCCAATTAGATCTTCAAATTTACTCAGTTGAATTTTGTTTTTTAACAGGTTCTGTCCAATAAAATGAGTTCTTTATTCCCCCATCCTCCATCCCCTCCTCCACTCTCCATGCC